AATGCCAGCGAAGTCCTACTTACTGCCTTCTCGAGGCGAGGGTGTTGTCTAGGAAATTGAGAGGACGAAAAGCGAATGTTCGGAGCTTTAACCGGGTTGGCAGATATGGAGGATCCACCTATAGGAGTAGGAAAACCCTTATCCCAAACATATGGTACACATAGGATCCAGGATCCTAAGGAAACAAATGGCGTATGAACCAATTGTTGGTCACGGGCTACCATCGGATTGCATCTCCTAATGCTGCATTGTGGATTAGACCTTTAGATCAAAGGCTCCGGGTGTGATCCTCTAAAAAAACAACCTGCTTCGGTTTGGGCAACTGAGCAGTATCACAGCCCTCACATAAATTGAATGATTTATGTAGTGCATATCTGTTTGGTGCCTTTTCGTACTACTGTTAATGTGTATAAATAAATGAATAATAAATACTACACGGCTGCCCAAACGGAAATAGATGGAGTGGGGTTTGAACCTAGGCTAAAAGTCGAACATCCTAACCACTAGGCAACCACTCACTCCATCCCTATTCGTGTACGAAATGTACTATGTTGATAATTTTTGTTTTAAAATGTCGTCTTCAGATATGAAGAACTATTCTTATAATTATAAATAATGGAATTACAACTGTGAAAATAGTTTCTTGTATCTGAAGATTACAAGATGATCACAATCATAGAGTAGGGCCCAATGAGGAGGTCCATGCATTTGATACGTCTTAAATGAACAAACGGTGACTGGGGTGAGTGTTGCTGAAGAGTTCTATATTAGGATGAAGCAGCTATCCAGTCCTCATCCTAGTTTATAATGGCACTTCAGAATCAAGTTGTGTTTCCCCATCATCTATCATACTGTACGACATTAAAAACAACCATTCGAAGTATAGGAAACAAACATGTACTTCTTTACTAAATTGTAACAAGACGAGGCTGAAATTACACACAAACCAAGAGTCCAATTAATCTTATATTCATAAAACATTTCACAAGATAAACATTATTAGTCTTTTTTCGAAAACTACCTTCACAGCATATTCATAAAATGGTTGGCCCCAAATTAAGGTACTAGGTGGAAGTCGTGGGTTTAGTCTAGGTATCACTTGATCTAATCTATTCCATTGATCTCCATCAACAGTGCAATAAGTATCCTAAAACAATTACAAACGGAATAAATATACACAACTAATCTCAGAATGTAAATGGTATGATAATATATTAATAGTGATATGTATATAATAAAACAATCAAAGTGTAAGGATGGGGATTTGTGAGAATTTTCCAGTTTAAGTTCGATTTTTATTATAGATATCAACTGTTGAGGTTGATAAGTCTGGTAATTAAACGCTTCATTATAAATTTCTAGCTGATTCCTATTTTCCAAACAATATTTCTATTGTTGAAGTCGAAACGGGAGAGAGGTGAGATGTAGATGCCCTCATTCCAAGATTGAGTTATGTACAGAAAGCAAGAGTATTTGCAGATTTATGGGTGCACCTGGTATTTTGAAAGATTCTAGGAATGATGAATTTAGTAGCAAAAATGTTAATTATCCAATCAGTGTAGCATAAAATTCATTGCCATTCTAGAAGTTCATGAAGTCTTCATATAACACAGATTGATCAAAGTACTTTTAGCTTTTCCCCAGATTATGAACCCTCTTTTGAAGAATTTTCAACGGCTAACAGAAAGATTAATAACTTAGAAGATCGAGGTAATTTACACATCATACTTTGGGACCGTATCTTTGCAGTGCACAATTCATGTAGTTATACAACCCTCTTCCATCACAGTTTCTTATCAGAACTTTGAAACCTAGCCAGTAGTACGTATATGTTCAATAAATAGGATCAAAAATGATGTATATGAACTTATTTTTATATCCTTTTATGAATATTTCTGAATGATCATGTATACCTATGTTTAATGTAAACTTTAAAAAAAAGTGAAATACTGTGTAGTAAATAGTAGTTGAGACAGGTATACTTAATTTACCTACCGCAACTGCAGATCCATGTGAATAAATGAACATTGCTTGAGCTGGTTCAGAAGTTGATGTAATCGACGGATTACCGCATACTAAAGCAATTCTACTATGATATAAAATATCTAAATTATTTAAATTTGCATTAGTGAATGGTGTAAGACGTATATTTGCACGATATTCTGATGGTAACGTATTGAGTGATGTCAAATTTTCGCTATCCTATAAAGAAACAAGAAGTAGACGTTAATATACTAACGGATAACATATTTTGTATAGTATCGTAAAAGTAACTAGTTTAAGTCACTTTTCTACAATTCAGCGATCATATCATGTGATTGACAAATGTATAAGTAACTGATTCGAATACGGTCTCGCTTATTTCGGTTTACACACGCTGATAGTATCATTAGTTCATACGGGAGAAGTATAATTCCCATGCAAATGATACATGCATCTGTAGGCTTTTAGTGAGATGTATTATTCTATTAAATTAATATAGTTACAACCTTTCTTTAATCTATTGTGATGATGAAATTGAACTGTTTTGAAGGTTCGATCGAGCCTACTTGACTAAAAATCTATCCACTAAGATCCTATCATGTTTTATTTATTTATTTATTTGGACACATGAATATTGGTACAAGGGAGCGCCAATATATATGCGCCACACAAAACAATGAAAATTCGAGAGGAATACAAAGAAAAAAAAAGCTAAGGAGCGCAACAAAAAAAAAGAGAGAACAATAACGAAGAGATTGGTGTAAGGTTATGTGCTAGTAATCAGGGAACGCAAAGGTACAATCGGAAGAAACCTTTCAGGTAAGGGAGGCACTACCACTGTTTATGAAGAAAGTAAAAGAAGGTTACAGCAGGATCGCCATTGGCTTCTATTCTGAGCCATATCTGATAACGTCTCTAGCCACTGTGTACCAATATCTCTCAGACCCCAACCAGGGAGTCGTGAAGGACCAACACAAGCCAGTCCTTTGCAGCTTTCTTTCATGCCACGACACCATGTCATGCACTGACCACCTCTCCGCTTCTTCCAACCAGTCCCAGAGTCGGCAAATAATGCACGACGTGGAATTCTCTGGGACGACATTCGGAGAACATATCCAAGCCACCGAAGTCGGTGTTTCAAGATGGTAACACCAATTGAATTATCATCTCTGTGCCCGAACACACGATGCCGAGCCTCTGCATTACTGACATGGTGTTGCCACTGAATGTCAGCAATCCTTCGGAGACAGGGATGATCGAACACGATGAACTCTATGTCTATGACAAACGATGATCCTATCATGTTAGAAATAACATTTGAACAAATGTAGAAGAAACGCAGAAAGTCTTAGGTTCTGAAGTGAAGTAGTATCGATCAATATATCACGTTGTATAGGTAGAGGAATTTGCACAGATAAATAATGCCTCTAGAGACCATGCCTACTCACATACAAAGCGGGTAGTTACAAAAGACTGACTAGAATAGTAACAAAAATTGATCGTCTCACAGATTCCTGGCTGAAGCTGTCTAGAAAAATGAGGAGTGTTCACTTTCTCAATACTGACCTCTCCGAACAATTAATTGTCTATTGAACGGCATTATCGTTAATGTGCCAATTATTGATGGAGTAATTTCGACTTTGGAAGTGACACTTGTTGTTTATAGTTTTATCTTTACTCAACTGACCTGACTGGATGATATCATAAGATGTCAAAGAAACAATCTTATTCTATTCATCCCGATAACTGAACATTCAGAATATTAATAAAGGACTTTAATTCTTAGAAGTTAAGAATAATCTCGAGAATAGATAGAATTAAACAACCCTATCATTTAACAAAACATAAAATCATCTCGTTGAGTTATAAAGCTATATGTATTGGGATTTAATTCATCATGACACTGGTGAGTACTGTGAAAGCAATTTTCGAGTAAGAACTGAAGAAAAAAAGAGATCAGAACAAACATGAACTGTCCAATAATAACTTACACCTAATAAACGACGAATAATTGGTGAACGATTAGCGGACAATAAAGGCCAAGGGACAGACCGACGTTCTGTTAACGGAATCTTGAAAAACAAAAGTCAGTCAATCATAGAGAATGAGAGAATAGTTATGTAACAATAACAACAAAGTTGATATAAATCTTAATACAGGTTACATGAACTATATCACTTTTCATCAAATAGGGACTGGTTATACTATTGAAACTACCGATATTTTAAAAAAAGGTGAGATGAGCTTCTAACCCATGTTGTGGTTTTGTTGTGAATAGATAAATAATGAAGCTCTGACAAACAACAGAAGCTATTTTTGGCAACATCACTTAATTCAAAGTTTGTAAAAATATTAACATTCAATCCTGTCACTAGGTTATTTTATAGACTATAAGCTTTAGTTTGATGCATGATTTACTACCATACTCTTTCCTATTTCAAAGCTATTATAACCTTTGGTACTCCATTTTTCCACCCTAACCCCCAATTTGGACATAATTGTACTTATTGTTTGTGCGTCGAGGTCGTGTTGGTCTACTAGTTATTTATGTATCTTTTTACATGAATCTCAATCAGGGATAAATCGAGAAGTGAATCAGTTGACTCGTCCTTTCTCTCGTTTCCGCCTCTCTATCTAAGGCCATTAGTCTCATTTCGGAACCACGCATTTTCAGCCTCAAGGTTGGACTAGTTAGTCTATTGTGCCAAGATCTTAATCTAAATCGAGACAATTTCTCTCCCGTATATTATTGGGTAAACAGATCAAGAACATAACAGTTCTATGATCTGATTAAAAAGAATAATTCAGTGAACGGTTTTATAGTCAAAAGGTTGAATGATGAGTGCTACAACAAAAGTACACATACAGGTGTATGGACTGATTCAGACAGACATATATGCGAGGTGATCTTGATCAGAACGACCACTTACTCGTTCACGAACTTCACCAATACTTGCATCTCATCTAATGTGTAGACCTGAAACAAGATGTGGTTTATTTGGGCTTTTAAACATATCGACTAGTAACCAACCCAATAACTGAAGGATGGAATAAATAGTGTTCGCAATTGAAACTCAATGATTAATACGGAGTTATTACTTAAACAATTGCTTTCATCACCTAACCAAAAAATTGATTACTCACATTGATATATGACGAAGGGCATCTGACAATACATGTTCCAACCTTCAAAGAGATATCAATTTTTCCGTAATTTTAAATATGCTTGCCCGACCAACGGTAACAACCAGGAAGCATATCTGAGATACATAACTTGAAAGATAGTCTTCTTGATCATTTGGTAAGCATTAATTGAAGACCCAATAAAAGTTATGGGGACAATGGAAAATTATTTCAATCCTTCAATGAGAACTTGGTTTTCATATTGATGATTTCATCTTTTCACAGTAATGTGTCGTGACAAAGTGAACCGATGCGTATGTGCTCCAGGTTCTATGTTGTCAATGCCTGAATCACTAAGATAGAGATGTGATTAATGAAGCGTCGAATATAAATCTCTCTAAAATGTCCAACAATCTGGCGTGCTTAACTCGCATCAAGCTCAAATTAACTAACAGTTCTTAAAGTATCAATAAAAACTATATGATGAAATCCATGAAGATTGTGAAACATGAACAAGGAACACAACAACAACAACAAACAAGCAAACAAAAAGATTAAACACATGAACGAACACAATTACCTTCCATTTTTCTAAACATGTTCTATACAATTCATCTTGTCTCTTTTCAGTAAGACTGTGATCTTGAGAGAATGCTAATAGTTTTGACAAAGCGATACATTGATGTTTAGCAAAACTAAAGGGAAGACGAAAAGAAAACAAGAGACATTCAGTCGAACATTTGATTTAAAATACACTAAAGCAATTAAGTTTACTAGGAAATTAGTTTTTCATAATCAATCTGTCATTAGCAACAAAGAACCTGGAATACATATGCACCAAATTGAGTTCCTAAATCATATTAGTAGCAGACTTTAAGGAATAAACAGTACAAAAAAATTAAGAACTTAAAACCTAAGAGAAGATAAACAATGAATGCATCTAAATCACTACGACAGGTTGTAAGCCGTATTATTCAGTAAAACCATATCATCGATTACAGAGCCCTTAATATGATTAATATATCTAGCCATTACCGAGAGGGGAGATGAGGGTATTACAACGGGTTATGACACATCAATTCAATAATATCTATTTCTTTGCATAGTCTTGAAACCATTTGATAAGTCTTGTCGATCGAACGCTATAATCGTTTTCCTAAGCTATTCTGGTAACCCGCAGTCTAGAACTACACAGCGACTTGAAAACCAGAGAGAAGACACAAGTATGAGAGAAAATACTTTATCCCAAGGTTCATTCTTGTACAGAAAATCATAGGTATTTATAGATGTTGGCGTATGTTAAATCAACATCATATTTCAGCCAATCCGTTAACGACATATTATGCTACCGACCAATAGTAGCACGCCACGTTGGAATTCTAGAACGTTCCATCATACTCTGATTGACTAGGACCCTTCAGCTCCTTTTGGGCCTCTGGAGGCTCCGTTGAAGTTCTCCGGAAGCCGACTTAACACCATCCTACAGTTGCATTAAGCTTAACATGAAGCAAACTAAATGAAGTTTCTAAAAGAATTCATGCAGAAACTACCAGTTCAATCTATCTCAGCTTCTCAAGAAAGTTCTGATATTAATAAAAAGGCAGCTGAAGGAATTAACTTCTGATAACTTCCCCGAATTTTTCGATTAATGGAAACAAAAATAGAACATGTGCATTATCAGAAATAAATCATTTTTTCAGTGTTTATCTCTTATTTAAACACATAAATAAATATTGGTACAAAGAGGCACCAAATACATATGTGACACACTTCGTCATTTGATTTGTGTGAGGGCCAGGATAACGCACGGGTTCCCAGACAGAAGCAGGTGGTTTTCTTAAAAGACCACTCCCCGAGCTTTTGATCTAGAGGTCTAATCCACAAGGCACTGAAGCAACGTTAGGAGATGCAATCTCATGTTAGTAGGTGAACATCATTGGGTTCATACGCCATTTGTTTCCTTAAGATCCTGGAGTCCATGTGCGCGATTGGTTTGAATTTAGGGTTTTCAAACTCCACTAAGTGTATCCTCCGTATCCATCTATACCAACGTGGTTAAAGCACCGGATATTCGTTTTTCGTCCTCTCGAATTCGTAAACAATACCCTCGCCTCGAGAAGGCAGTAAGACATCGTTGTCAGTTTCTGTATACGCATGTCCGTGTGAGAGCATATTGAGAGGAATATCTAACTCTCCCTACCATCGGCCGTACTAGAGCATAAGATTGATCAAGCATAAATTTTGCAAAACTACATTTTCGCTACCTAAATTTATCATTAAACATACAACGGACAACAGTGAACGGTATCGTAAATAGACTTATTAAATAGACAAATCAGAACAAACTTCCATGTATTTTCCGGTAAGGAAGGCATGCAAAAAAATCACAACTTACTCTTCATTCATCCCCTGAATAAATTGCATAAATTTGTCATCTTGTTCAATTATTTCAGTGTGACATATTTTTAATACATCCAATTTTGGATTGATTGATGATGATGGTGACGACACTGATTGGTTTGTTTTAATTTGATTCAACTTTTCATTAACTTGTAAAAAATGATTGATCACTAGACCAAGTGAACCAGATTGTTTCATATCGGTTAGAATGCCAAACTTCTTACTGGCTTCCACATCATCAACAACAATACCATTTGTGGTGGTTGTTTGTTGTTGTTGACCTGGAAATTTACGTGTCTTCTGTCGGAAACTTGACTTTTGATCAGTGGAATCCGAATGACTTGTCATGGATGATGATGATGATTTGGGAGCAGGTACACAACCAGCCATTGTGTTTAAAGATGATCGTAAATTTTTGCATACTAAATAACTTGATGGTTAGAAGAGAAAGCAACAACAATCACCGATAGAATGAACAGTTCGATAAATAATATATCAAATTACATAATAATAACCATCTACCACATCTAACAAGAAAGGGGAAATTAGGAAGTCATACAATGTCAACATTATTGTAACTTAGTAGTTTTTATCAAATAACTATTACAAATTATGGTGATCAAATTATGATGTGACATTAGTTCATAAAGTTAATCACCGTTGGGTTGAGAGTTCTGCTGAATGATGTAAGCCTTATAATTAGAGTGATCTTATAGTTGGATGCGTCTAGCAACAAAAATCGATTTCAGTTACCAAGATCCATCCATTCTTTGTACTTTGAATAAACTATGAATTTGATTATTATCTCATACTTTCCACCGTCCAATTTTATGCTATTCCTTTATTATCTATGTAACAAACGTTGACCCTAATGATGCTGACTCATATCAAGCTACATTGACTGAAACACATGTTCCTTTAGTTCCTACCACACAATGAAGGTTGATTGGAGAGTGGTATGACTAGGGTAACAAACTCATGATCTGAGCAGTAAGTCGTGCTGCGGAACATACACAGATTTGACTGCAGGAAGGTGGTTTTCTCAGACAATCAACAACTACAGCCATATTACCCTAGCATAACAGAAGGAGAGAGTTTAAAAAGGTAGACCCTAGAAATACCAGACATCACCTTGTCTCACAGATAAGGACCCTAATGATAAGGCCTTAGAAGTACGGAGCTAACACAACTAAAACTATTCACATAAAATTTGTCTGTAAATAGCCTTAAGCAGTCATCCGTTTGATTCTACGAGTCACACTCTCAAGTCGTCAAGACCATCCTCTAACTCAGAATCGCTTACAAGAACCACAAGAAGTATTGTTTTCTAAACACATTTTATAAATTTCACCCAAAAATACTCATTGATTAAAAGTAATTTTCAGTATTGTTTTTGGTTTTCTGAAGAATTACCCCAAAAATTAAACATGAATACTAACAGTTTATATTCATTTGTAAAGGCGTTTATTTTCTAATTGTCAGTAATGACAACTGCAACTGGTCACTTTCTATTGATATACATGTCTTGAGCGGATCGCTAATAGAGAAACTCATCAATCACAGTCTATAATATCAACAATTGTAAAATACAAGCCCTTACGAACTAAACCTGTACCCGTCGCAAAAGCGAATGACTGCTATCTGAACTCAGTAGCTCAACCGATTGTGTGTTGACATTTGAAGTGAAAGGTAATGGGTTCAAGTGTAAATATAATCACCATCAACACTGGAATAGAAGTATATTCAATTGATGAATCATGGAAATGAGACGAAACTCGTATCCTGGATTCTACTGTTAGATATAACTTAAATTAAATAAGAAAAATTTGTACTTAGCAAACAGGAATAAGCGAAACCTAACGGAATGAAACCAAAAATAAACTAACCGTTCCGAATTAGCTGGTCGACTAGTTACAGGTTTTATAATGAAAATCTCTTCAAATAAATAACCCATCAAATAAATTATGCCAATTGTGAATTCAGTAAATGTATCAAATAATTTTGTTAAAAAATGTCCACCTAAATTTTTCAGTGATTTTAAAAAGAAGAAATACAAATATACAATTCATATCAGAGGGGTTTTTGTGGATATTATAGTAATATCAATAGTTAAGATCATGAGTCAATGGGAGCTAGACCACCATGGAAAATCTAGAAGCACTGAACGGCCATTTCGTCCTATTTTGGGACTCCTCAGCGTGAATTGGTTAGTTAGACATTAACACTGTTGGATGCCGACTCAGTGATCTAGTGGTTAAGCGCTCGCGCGCGAACTGATAGGTCCTGGGTTTCAATTTCGCGAGGCAGGATCATGGATGAGCACTGCAGAGGATTCCCACAATAGGACGAAACGGCCGTCCAGTGCTTCCAAGTTTTCCATGGTGGTCTAGGTTCAATTGACTCATGATCTCAACTATTGAAAATATATAATTATTTAATATTACAATCAATTGTTAATAAATTTGGAAATGAAAAAAAAAGATTTGTAACTGTGATGGATGCATCCACTGGCGACCTGTATGAATATCTGAGCTACCAGTTCCTCCCTACTATCTTGATATCTCAACAAATTATCTGTTTTCTTGTTTGTTTTAAAAAATCATTATGCCTATTAGTATCATAACCTATTCAGGTGTGTTTGTGAAGTGTTTACAACCTTTCACTGTACAAGTTACAAAAATGTACAATCGAAGATATCGTAATTACTGGCAATATTGACAGAAAAAGAATGAACATTATTTAGATACCCATTTCTGAAATTCTAACATCTAACTGTCGATCACTTAATACTTATCGTCAGGATGAATCAAGAAATAAGAAAAGGAAACTCGCTGAAATACTGTGATGAGAATTCTATATTGTACCGAAAATACGGTACTGAATAAAGCAAATTTAATAATAATAATAATAATAATAATAATAATATCACAGATTGAAATCATGAGTCAATTGAGGGTTGAGAGCTCACTGAAGACAATGGTATACGGTGGCGCAGCTTCGTGGATTGGTTGGAGTTAGACATTAACACCATTGGATGCCGGCTCAGTGGTCTAGTTGGTTAAGCGCTTGGCGCGAGACTGATAGGTCCTAGATTCGAATCTCGCGAGGCGGGATCGTGGGTGCACACTGCTGAAGAGTCCCACGGTAGGATGAGACGGCGGTCCAATACTTCCGGGTTTTCCATAGTGGTCTAGCTTCCATTGACTCATGATCTCAACAATTAAAATTACTATAATATCCACAAAACCCCTCCCTCTATTAATTGATTATTCTTAAACGATTTCTCCTCATCTCTTTTACATATGGAAACTAATCCACTACTATTATAAACCTTTTTTTAAGTTATTTTCTGTTCACATACGTTTGATTTCAATTTTGTTGTACTAAACCAACATACGCATTTATTACAGGTTTTAGCTTGTTTAAGTCAGTCCGTCAGTAAGTCAGCACTCACATAATCAAAATAACTGTAAAAATAAAACAATTTCTAAGGCGTTTGAAATATCGATGACATAGATTGGCAAAAATTTAGTAATATATCAATGCATAGATGTTAGATGATTGAAGATAATCAGGGAGAGACTATGAGGTTAGATTTCATGCTAATTGGCACTTAGTGCCAAAGCGTACCTGCGGTGTTGTACATATATAAACGAAGTTATGAAACAGACAAATTACAAGCAAAAAGAGATTTCACAATATACACCTACCTACCTGGTCTAAGGTTGATTAATGCACATAAACACTGACATAAGTACAATTGTTTAGACATAACCTCTTGAAGATTATACTGACTAGATACATCGAAACCCTGAAGCAAAAAAGAAGAAACAATTATCTTGCAGGTTATTTCAGACTGGATGAGTAATATAAGCAATGGTTATTCATTTTGTATTTTCTTGAGCCACAAAAAGTTTACTTGCAAAGTCTATTTTAACCTCTTGTATGTCGTTGTTATAGTTGGAGTTTCATCGAGCAATAATTGTACATTCTAACTAGTTACGTTAGGTCCACTTTGTAAAAGTAGAATACAATCGGTATTCTTATCAGCTGACAATTCACAACATTTGTTGATGTGAAAATTTTTATTTTATATGAACTATAGAAAGCAAATATTGAGATTACATGGGACGAATATCTGCAATTCCAATGTGACAATAACTGTATTCACACTAAAGCAGGCAATAAAGCATCTTCGTATCTTCAATGCGTAATCTTTCCTATTAACACTGATACCTGCTACTACCTCTACTATTGTGGGATTTTGTCTGACAACTTCATTTCTCTGTGCTAATGGAGTATGATAAATTGAACCGATATACATACGTATAGGTTCTCTCTTGTGACTGACTGGTCACTTGAAATATGAAATGAAGTCACACAGAGTAAATTACATAGTGATTACAAGAACTAACTCATTTGCCAAGTATAATTTCATGAACTCAGCCTTAAATTATCCATCCCTGTTTGAAGGCTATTGTTATTACATTCCTAACTACATCAAAATGGGGCTCAAACCTAAGATCTACGACTACTGATTGGAAGCCTTCACCAAAAAAGTAACTCCACATGTAATAATAAACTGGAATGTTGACTAATGGTTTCGTGAGTAAGACTATAATCTTAGATTCTGTTAATTACTGGGAGATATAAATCATACAAACTTCCTAAAATGTACTAAATCCCATGCACCAAGTCTAAAACTTTCTCTTTTGAGAAAATTCCAATGTCAAACTAAAAAGTTAGGTAGTAAACAGATAAACATATAAGAAAACTTTTTGAACAAGATTTGAAATACACTATCGTCATCACAAAGAAATTTATCACTGAACTAACTCCATCTGCCATTAGAATATGCACACCAGCATTATTTGTACTACGACCAATAAATGATGCGAATGAAGCTAAATTCGACCATTTTGTAACATCCCCATCACGTCCTGGTCCATAATGTGCCATAAAAGCTTCTTTTGGACCAGCCAAGAAATCATTTTCATGAAAATCACAATGACCGGTTAATGTTAAACCAAATCCTTTAGCAGACAGCAATGGTTGTTGTTTCTCTGAAGTAGTACTAGTATTATTAGTAGGACTGTTATGATCGACAGATTCAGTAGTATCTTCTAGTAGTTTATCATTCATATTGGAATGATGATTAGGACTGAGTGTATTGTTAAGCCGTTTCGATTCATTTGATGAGTGAATATGATATGGAGCATTACATCGTCGCCATAAAGTATATTCTGAGAAACCTCCAGGACCAGCACATATATCAGCAAAATATAATACATCCTGTGTAAAATGGAAAGTATGACGATAAGAGAAAATTTATAATTCACAGTAAATATTTGTCGTGTTCAATGTGTAATTTAAGAATAATTAAAGGGGAAAACTGCAATACTAACAAAATCATAGTTTGTTTTATGAAACTTACTGAATTCTAATTGCCCCCAAATGCCCTGGTACGGCCGAGATGCTCTCACACGACCACGCCCATACAGCCTCTGCCAGGGAAGTCCTACCCATTGCCTTCTCACACCACGGGTGTTGTTTACGAAATTGAGAGGACGAAAAGCGAATGTCCGGCACTTTAACCGGGTTCGTGGACACGGAGAGTCCACCTAGGGAAGTCGGAAAACCCTCATTCCACACCAATGGCCCACATGGGCTCCAGCATCCTGAAGGAACAAATTACGTATGAACAAATTGTTGGCCACCGGCTACCATGGGACTGCATTTATTAAATTAGCTCCACTACATTGTGGGTCAGACCTTTAGGTCAAAGGCTCGGGGTGTGGCCCCCTAAGAAAACCACCTGCTTCGGTCTGGGCACCCGGGCAGTAACACAGCCCACACACAAAAAAAATGAAAATGACGATATTTACTGAAAATTCTATTCACGCCTCGATATTCATACTTTTTAATATAACATATTCACTGTTATATCCTAGTTACTCGTAATTTAATCTTCACTGGGATATAACATTCACCAAAGTTGTACTTATGATATAAAACTAGAACACATTCGTTTATTATTTAACAGCTACCTAAATAAGTGATTAATTTGAAATAGGGAGACACTTTAATTGTATGTACTAGGTCGAAACACATTTGTTGAGAAAAAAAACATTACGTCTCAGTGTTTCACATTTCCCAAAGGCAATCAGTTGACAAAAGACACTGTCAGGTAGTATCATCTGCTGAGGTCTGATCTTTATCTAATCGAATTTAGGTGGAATTTTGTTCTCTGAGCTGAAGTTTGTGCTGATGACGTCGTTCAGAAGAAAGCTCCACGACCAAACCATCCAGCTCAGAGAAAAAAATAAACCTAAATCACCCATCTAAGCTACAATTCTTCGCCATCTCAAAAAGGTCGAATTCTATACTACTACACTGGTTGCACATGGTAGTTACCGAACAGAGCGTGGCACTTTCTACATTGATTCAACGAGTTTTTTGTTGTTGAAAATATGGTTTATGATAAGTGTTGTTGCAAAAAGATTACACGCATTACATTAGAATAAATGTACTTCTTTGTATTCAGTGAATAACAATTAAAAAAGGTATGGGATGGGGAAAAGGTTTTTATAAAACTACTTTACTGATTTTAACTAGAGCAATGTTCTTTCAGAACAGCTGAAAGACTATCTTCAGCATGTATGATAAGAATGTTTAAAGAGCAAACATAAGTGATAGGATTGAATTCCAAATACAAACTCGTACTTTCCAGTACTTTTCAACACGTTCTGTGATATTTGCTAATAGGCGAGCACTCAAATTAGGAAGAACACAGTGGACACACTTGTAAGTATATTATAATTTTAACTAAAGTTTGGGGCGTGTTATTCAATAACAAGATCCCAAGGGAAATTTGAATATAGCAGTTCCAGATAAGCCATTATGGAACTCTAAATGTACTATAAAATCATACGAAAAGTTTGTTCGACAGTTCGTTTCATAATTCTATTGTTAACATTGAGCACCAGATCTATCATTTTAGTCGACAAGT